TCATTTCTTCAATACTAGAGATCTATAAATCCCCATCCTAATAGTGATTTTATATTTGTCAGGAATTGATTAATTGGCATAGAGAGACAGTGGATGTAATAGTAAACACTGGTATTGACTACTTAGCATTTGAGACTGTACCAGCATTGAAAGAAGCTGAAGCTATTGTGCAGCTATTACAAGAATATCCATCAACTAAAGCATGGATATCATTTTCCTGTAAGGTATGGAATATCATTTAGTGATAACATGTAGTGTAGAGTATTGAGGTGATTATAGTATGTTGAGTGGTGTGTGAATGCTAGCTGCAAGTTTTCATAAAAATGAAAAAAGCTAAATCAACTTTGAAATCTGTTTTGGGAATTTAAGACTCATGGGAGTTTCTTTAACATTAATTTAATGTATTTAAATATACAAGTTTCTTATCTACAAGAACTGTTATTCTGTGAAAAAAGGGTAGACTGTCTATCAGAAACTAAACAAATTTCAACAAAAGTAAATGCTAACTTGAGTACTATGGAGTACCATACAACTAATTTATTCAAGACCTTATATCCATTGTCTCAGTCTGGTTATGTAAATGTAATCTGTGGAATTTCACCCCCCAAAAAAAACTAAAATAAAGAAATAAAAAAAAATGCAATAGTCTATCTGATCTTAAACAGATTGTGTATTGGCCAAACATTCTCCAATTGAATAGAACATTTCATGGCTGTGTTATGATGACGTCACAGTTAGAGTGTCTCCAGGATCTCATTACAAATTTGTACATATTTATAGGCCACATTTGTATAATAAATAATTAATTAATTACCAATATGTTATATTCATATTTAGGATGGAGAACATACATGTCATGGTGAGAAATTCTCGGATGCAGTAAAAGTTGCTGCGTCATCCCCATCCGTGGTTGCCGTTGGTATTAACTGTACACCTCCTCAATACATAAAATCACTATTAAAAAGTAGTGAGAATGAAATTGGTGACAAAATATTTGTAGTTTACCCAAATGGAGCATCATATATTGGTGGTGGTCTGTAAGTGATCTTAATATACCAAATACTGTAAAACACTTTATTTTCGCTTGGAATTTATTTTTGGCGATAGGATGATTCAGTGAAAATAAAATCCAACGAATATACATTTTTTCATATATTTTACAATCAACTAATCAAAAATCAGTGTAAATATATTCCATCCGAAACAGTGAAGATTAATTCCAGCTAAAAATAAAGTATTTCACACTATACTATCAATTTAAAATCTGACTATTAGGACAAAAGATTGACACACTTCCTCTATTCCATGATATCAGGGCAAGAACGGGAACGTACGCAATAATGGGAGAGATGCAGTCAAGCCCTTTTCAAGCCTTGAGGAAGCCTGAGAAAAAAATGTTTACAGTTCATGCGATTAGTGTATTGTAGACCTTAGTATTTATTTCAATTATGCTTAGAATGTTCGTGTAGATAACATTTTCCAAATAAAACTGACCTTAATTTTGTAACTTGAAAGAATCATTAAAGGCATTTTGTTTAAAAGATTTTTACAAATCTGGGGAAACATAGAATATTGATTTTTGTGATTTAACCTCAAGCACTGCCAAGTCTAACAATATAACAAAGCTGCACATGATATGCATCAACCAATGAGAAGGTAGATGTTAAAATAATGATAGTCATATCCAGATAGTGTTATATAATCACAATTTGATCGACCTGACCCTGTTTTGTTTCTAATATATCATTTAAATTTTAATTGCAGATGGAAAAAGAATGAGAATAATAAAAATCTATGTGCATATGTTCCTGATTGGATTAATGCCGGTGCCAACTGGATTGGAGGTTGCTGTATGATAGGAAGTCAGCAAATACAAGATATAAGACAAGCTATGGTTGATACGATAGCTAAATAAATGTTTCTCAAAACAAAACAGTAAATCATTACCTTGCTTGTATCATCAAAAATGAAAGGGAAAGGTTTATTAAAGGAACAATGTCTGTTGTCGTTGTTGTTGTTAATATTATTAATGTATGCACAATAAATTTACTTATTTAATCCAAACTTTATCATACGGGGGGGGGGGGGGGGCAGGCAATTCGTCAGTATAAAATCTTCCCTTAGTATGAACGACAGCTGTCCTGTGTGAAAATATCATGCAAAAATCTGATAAAATGTTTTGACTTATCCCAGTGGGTTTATGCATTGTTGTATGTGTTCAATGAAGCAAATCATTTATCTTGTAATAATATCCTTGGTAAAGTATCTCCCAAATCTCTGCGAATACTAGACTGTTTCAAAACCAACTCCATATAAGCATCCCTATGAATCAAGTGCCAAACTTTTAATCAAGATCTAAAGCCAATAGAAAATCCGTTTAGTTCAAAGTTATCAAAACAAAAACAATACATAAAAAGCAAAACATTGAATCCACACATGAAGGGAAAATTGTACTCAAAAATATGTATTATGTATTTGACAAAATATTTTTTTGTATATAAATTTTGAAAATCAAAATTCACAGGAATTTGTTTCAGCTATTAGAATAGAATTATAGAGCTTTTATAATACTAATTTAAAAACTCACTTCCAAAACAAAGATTGCAGTGTTTGAAGATTCTCAGAAGGCAACAGTACTGTTGACTTCTCTCTCCACTGGACACCAACTAACTAGTTAAGTTGATTTGCATACGAAGCAGAGCTTGCAACATGATAGCTATTCATAGAGGGCCTTTTTTTAACTTTTCAATTAATACAGTAGTCACACAATGAATATAATAAGGCAGTTCATATTTGTACATCATTAATTTTTGACAGACACCTGTACAAAATACTTGGACAAAAGCCAGCTAAGATTTTCTGTTATCTTGCATGTTTTATGAATCTATTCACGTCTAAATGCAGCATTTTTTTTCTGCGATGAGGCATTTGTTTCTATACTAAAATATCTGAATTACTTTGAATAAAGCTGGAAATTATGGCCCTTAAAATAATTAAACAAATTAGGCACCAATGTTTTTGTAATACATTTACAGCAATCAAGGACATTTGGTAGACTGCTTTCCTACTGCTGTTTCAATCCTAAAACTTTGTTTGTATTCAAAATTAATTATGACAATGCATATTCAGATTGAAACAAACTATGATAAATGATATATCATAAAACAAAGGGCAAGGCCACCAGAGTTCAACAATGTTTATTTCAAGGGTGGTGGTTGCAGTGTTTTGTTTTAGAACTTTTATCAATATGCAGACTGATTATGACATATTGACAGTATCAGTGAATTCTATCAATGCATCAGTATTCTGCCCACTGAACTTCAAATTGATCAATAATCTTGATCATTAAAACTGCATGCAATAATTTCTGTAGGTATTCAGATGGGGGCATGACAGTCTTTCTAGCTTTCTACAGTGCCACATTATGTATGAAATAACAATTTGTAAGTTGGCATTATGTTAACATAATGTCAACAATGCCATATGACACCAATTATGCATAATGTAATAATTCTGTGGTTGGTATTGTTTTAACATTGTAAACATAATTCTTTATTAGTCCCCGTTCGGACGAAGTCCG